TGTGTCTGAACACTGGAAATATTTGCTGTTGTACTTAACAAAACAAAAGCTCAGCACTAAACACAAAGGAAAGTTGATCAGCTTAAAAGTAACATTTAGAACATGATAAAATCCAAATTCCTCTTAGAAGAGTCGTAAGCAGAAATTTCCATATGTAGATCACAGTCCCTGTGATAGAGGGACTGTGTGTAGATATAGTAATTACTATGGAGAAAAAGCTCCAAATTCTCTGTAGATATTACTTTGAAACATTTGACACTGGAGGCATAGTGATAACATAACAAGATCTCTATACAGATAGCATACATAACCATAACCATTGTTGGGGGATAAGGATCTTCCCAACTACCTGGGTGGTTACCCCCCCCCCTCCTTTCCACCATCACCACAATGATCCAAACCCTCAATGCAGGCCTGCCTCACATATTCCTGGGATGCACAAGCAATTATAACTATAGAAACACCAGAATCGGTTGCCATCTTTGCAGACAAAATATGCCACTCACAGAAAATACTCTGACTGTATTCCGTAGACCAAACAGTGGCGTCACATGCATACAGACAATAGTCACAGGAAATATGAGGTCTATGGGGTGAAATGCACGAAATAAAATAAACAGTCACACATGGTCAATCCAATCGATGCAAAAGACGGTAATGTTTGCAAACTAGTAATCAATTTTCAACACAAACTGTATAGGTTGCATAATAACCGACAAATTAAACTAGTAATCTGTGATGTTGGTCCTGTCCGGCATGTGATCCAGGATAACGATGTCCACAGTGGTGCCAAGACACTCGCAGAGACGAACAAGATCATCACATCAATAGTTCACAAGAATGACAACCAACAATTTCTACGAAAATGGTAATTCTCTGCGGAATAGTTTCATGACTTGTTGAAAAACCAACAGGGAAATGTTGTTGACAGAACATACAAATGTCATTTTAAACCAAGTTTAACTTACCATGAATAAAAATCAAACTTCCCTGTGCACAGACTGTTTCGATATGCAAATATGTGTTTAGCCAATCACTAAACAGTAGCAGGTCACCTGACTTTACGAGACTTTGAGTCAGCCATTGGGGGCGCCAGGATAGTTAGTCAAGACAACAAACAATGCGTTTCATAACACGCGCCTTGTGTAAATTTCCCTACTGTTCTTTGCATGTTTTAGATTTTTCTAAATCTGAATAACTAAGTGTTATAATTTCACCAGCGTATTCTAGTGACGACCGTACTTCACTATTCTATACAATAACACGTTATTATCACCGTAAAGTAATTACAATCTTTTGGGGCTCTGAGTAATAAAGTTAAATTAATAAATATCACGAACACACATTAATTATAATAAAAGTATTGTCATGATTTATATTTCAGCCTAATGGTGGTTGCCATGACATCTACTGATAAAGGTTAAATTAATGATAAAGGTTAATGATGGAAGCCAGATGGCGAACTAGTCGAAATCAGCCAAGACATCTCATGAGTTTGCAACTTTTTAAAGATACAAAATACGCGAATCGTAATCCTAAACCAATGTTGTTTGCGATTCTAAACTCATGTGGTATCTTTGTGGAATGTTATTGCAAGACTATTAAACCCATAAATATTAGTTGGCGTTGACAATATGATAGTGGCTTGATGATTAATCAATTTATTATGATGTGTAAACTTTCATGTGATTGGTTGTTTGTTTGAAGGCA